GTGCATGGTTACAGTTGCATATAAGTACTTGTATTCACTTTGCAGCTTTGTAGTTTTATTAATAGTTTTATATAATTTATCTGTCAATCTGTCAGTTACGGTTATATATAACTGAAGTGCTATGGAGTGTTTGGACATTTGCGGTGCTAGATTCGTTTTGCATAGATTCGTTGTCTACAGCAATACTCTGCGTTGCAAAGGATATTTTTCAATGCTGCTAATGCTTTAAGATGACGGCGTAAATATTGTTTCCATTTAAGTTTACTTTAAATTCGGTATCATTATTTGTAATCTTAATATTGTTTCATTAGTTTGATTACGTTTAAGCATATTTCATAAATACAGAAATCTAATGGCGTATTCCTTGTACCTAACTTACGTGTTTAAAGTTACATTGATTCTTTTCCTGTATTCTACCTTCACAACCAGTTTACTGATTGTACAAATAACAAGTCCTTATTTATTTGATTTAGATTGAAGTCCTCCAAGACTACTGTCCGAAACTTTCCGCCACTGGACATACGACAGTCAACTTCGCACATTTGATCGGAATCAGTGCCTTAGGCACGTACTTCGTTATGTCGAAGTTGATGGTATTCACTGTTCGTATGTTACTTTCACTGATTGTACCGCTTTTCTCTTCAGCACTCCGATAAGCTGACTCCATACTTTCTGGGACTTATGTCAAACATTAGCAAAGCAGAGTTTGCTGAGGACAAGGATAATCGAGGCCAGTCAAGTACTGATCTTCGGAACGTTGTTTATCAGTCACGGTGTTAATGGTATTTTTAGCCATTTCCTTGCCAGAAAGATACGCGTTTATTCTGTCGAATATTCTGAACGACATTGCGACTTGTGATAGTAATTTGAAACATTCGGTAAGATTTTTCAAATGATGTGCGTTTTTATTGTCAGAGATTTTCCATATCATAGTTTTTATTTTTATCTTTAGCGTTTCACAAAAGAATCGCGTAGGTATCCAAAAGATGACTAATCCTTCTTCGTAATTAACGATGATCAGCGCTGCCTAGTCTTGATGCTCACCCATGCTCGATCTGTCGCAATAGGCTTCCATATCCCTTGCAGCTCATAGTCCTATCTGAACTAAAATCTTTCAGTTTGGTACTTACAGTCCTTTGAATGCCACTTCATCAGATTTGCGATGGGCAGCTTCTACACACGGGATTGGGAGCCACTTTTGTTTGTGCGTTCCATTTCTTTCTATCTTCGTTAATGGTTTTGTCTACTGTTCACTCTGTCCAGCCTTGCGCTTTTGAGAGAACTCCCGTTTCCTTCATCTCAGCCGAATAGGTTTCCAGGCGACAGCTCTATGAGGCTTGGCAAACTTAGAGTTTTCTCCTTGAGCTTGGACAGAGCGACCTCTTCTCCGGTGGTTTCACTTTGGCACCACGCAGAGGTGCCTAATTTCGCGTTGGACAAATACGGTATGTATAGTGAAGCATTTCTCAGAGCCTAACGTACAAATTATTTGCGATAAATGTTCATGTTATTCTGCAAGACCGACTATAAGTAGTGGGAAAATGACAGATTTAACCGGCGGTTAAGACTATTTCTGGCGGGAATTATGCTGATAATGCTCCTAGTTCTTTGATGCAACGTTGATTCACTCAGGAAGTTACCGTGTCACTGCCTCAACCAATCGATCGTACGGTTGACCTATTTTAGTCTGTTCATCTGATTATTTTCTAGTATTTTTAGAGCCAGTTGTAGAAGCGGCAGTTTATTTTTCGTTATGAAAATATGTTTGGGGAATTTTGCTAGCACTTGTGATGGTCGCATCATGCCGTGTTCAGTTTCATTCTCAGATTCGATGGGATTCTCAGAAACTCAACAACCATCGTATCATCAGCATGGTTCATATAGTAATGCAGTCGCTGATGTAGACGTTAAACGGGTGATGTAAGGAACATAGCTGAGCTCAGAGCCCTGAGCTACGTCAGATATATTTTTCATGACGATAGATTTTCTCGGTTAATCATTGTATGCTGTGTACAATTTTAGACTTTGTTCGTTGGCTTTACGACTAGCAGTTCAGCGGCTGTAGCGTAACGAATAATAGATTTCATCGCACCTAGGAGGAGTACATTTGCCTTAAGCTTGCCTTACTATAATACTGTGCTTTGGTCGTTACTCAGAAATGTTGTAAAACATTTGCAATTTTTTATTGTTAGGCATAGGACAGGAAATCACAACTTGCCATATGGCATTGCTTTTGCTTCAGTTCTTCCAACACTTTTGCAGTTTACTGTATGCTACAGTTAAATTAACTCGTGAATCAATCTTCCGGGGCTACATTTATACCACGTAATTATATGCGTGATATGTGGTAAATTTGATGTAATATTTTCACCCATTCTCATTACTTCCTTTAACTTCTCGCTGACTGCTGTCTACCGCAGCATTACCCTGCCCCAAAAGTAAAAGAAACCCGTTTTTATCATGATCGTAATTTTTGGCGCCGTGACTTTGTATGTCCAAATAAGTTATTGTTCCAGACATGAATTATATTTTTTGTAATAACGTTATTGCTATTGTTTTGTAACTTTTCTATAACAGTTATTACTTCAGCGATTTTATAACCTTCATTTAGATCATGCGTTTGGAAATGGACGTTTTCTTGTCGCTTTCTCAAGAAGTCTTATTCAAATCGAAAATGTCTGGGTTAGACATAGAAAAGAAAAGTGGGTTTTCTTCGATTATAAAGTTTATATTTGAAGGAGATTTGAGGCGTTCATGAATCCTGTGATAAGATAAAATGTTTATTGAGCACCTTTGTGAAGTTTTAACGATTAGGTATAATAAACTAAGGTTAAGAAACTGCTGAAACTCTGAGATTCCTTGTCTTGCAGTACAAAATAAGTTTCCTTTTTTATTCGCGATATAAGGAAGTATACAATCAGCGAAGTTTCAAATAAATTTTGGATTTTAAGCTTATTCGTACGATAGTAGGTACCCAAATAACATTTACAAGTCAGTGTCGGGGTCATTTTAAATACCCGGTGCTTAGCTGGAATAAAAGAAAGCATATGGTGGCGTGGGGTGCAGTGGCGCATGGTTTAAAGCCTGTTTTGTTGGAGTCATGTAATTTTTCTACCCTGATGACGATTCTGTTATATGGTAGCGATGCACTCTCAAAATTTAGCGCTGCCAATGTGGTCATCGATTGATTTAAAATTGTTTAAAAATGGCACAATTTACTACGCACAGCCAACAAAATGCACGTTGACGCTTATAGTACTCGAGTTCTCGTTTTATCACGTCGTTCGTTACCATCACGCCATCTACCCATTACCAAATGTTGAAGTTAATATTTTACCTCCTGTACGAATTGCATTTCTTTATTAATTAATTTCCCTTGAATACCACCATAAGCGTTACAATTGCTTTTTATTTCAACTGTCAGTTAAAAAAGATTAGATGCAGACTAAAGCAGAATACCCTTAGTTGTGGCTGTTTATCGATAAGCATCTCTGAAGTTCATTACAAACGATGAATCTGAACCAACTGACTCACTGATTTTCATGTCTAATGTGAAAGATTCTGTTGTGTTAACTTAATGTACTAATTTTGAATATTAGTTTGCCGTATATGTAAATAAGCTGTTAAAAGTTATTGCAAAAGCTATTAAAATACAGGATACAAGTTATTTGGAGTAGTATTCTGTATAAAGTGGTTATTACTACCATAATGTTATTGATAAACAAAAATACCCATTATATTCTGGCTTTGCTGGAGAATGCTATTTTTGAGACGTCTGGTTAGCACAAAGTATGTGAGTCGCTTCGCCGGTTTCGCACGGAGTAGCCATATCGCCCGTTGTTTGTAGTAGCATTGGGAACCCTTTTGACAGGCCAGGCTGAATCGTACTAGTACAATCATAAGCAGTGCATGAATGCAAAGCCACGTCACTGTGCTTGATTGGATACAAACATGAAATACCAATGAACATGCTTTTGTTCGAATATGTTTTAATTCTTATGACCTTTCGTGGCATTTATTGGCGCTTATCTAGAAATTGTACATTTCTTGTTTAAAACCTCTGCTTATGGTGTTGAAATCGGTTGGAAAATGTCTTGATGTCACGACAGGACCTGTTCCGGCAAGGCACTGGTCTGTGGTGATGTGATGGTGCTCAGGTCCATATTTTATCCTTGAAACTTTGTTTCAGTAAAAGAAAGATTGACATTAGAGTTACTTCTGTGAAAGCATGTATCTGTTACAGATTGGTCCAGGGACCGTTGATTATATTTATCTACTATGTCTCAGTTTAGCTTGTTGTAACTCAAATAGCTTTAGGTCTTTAACATATTTATAGTTCTTTCGCTCTTATTTTTCATGTGTACTTTATTCTTTCAGCTGTTCTTCTAAGATCCACTTGTTTGCTTCTTGGTTTGTCTCGTACGATTGGTCTCAGCTGCAGGCAGCGAACAGATTGTCTGTTGTCTACCATTACACGAGCCTCGTCATCGTCGCATAAGTATTCTGCGAAGCACTCCAACAGGTGAATGATTTAAAAGTTAAGCTTCGATTGTGTAATGAATCTTGTTTTTATTTTAGGCCGTTTTGGCTGAATTCGTTCTTGCAATTCGTTTTCGTTAGTCCATTAACTGCAGCCTCAGCGGAAAAGAGTAAATTTTTCCGACGACCTCAGTGCGCGTTCGAACTACTGGGAGGTGTTTATTTTTTCGCTGCCTTTACGAACATTTCAGACGACACTTTTTCAGACGTATGTTATTCTGCCGACACTCTACTGCTGAACGAAGCGGAGTATCCTGAGCTATGCGAAATGGTAAAAAGTACTTAGCGGTACTTTACTGTTTTGCTACCTTAAATAAATTTGTTATCTGTTTTAAAACTGTCATACAGGACCACTGCTTGTTTTAGGTGATGAACATACTTGATCGTGACGTTTTGACGCGTTTGGACGATCACTGTACTGACGTGTTTACGGTAAGGCCTTTACTATATTTTATTTCTTAAAACTAACTTCGATTGTCTCTGCTGAATCATGATAACCATTATTCAGCTTACTATCTAATGCCTAGGCGAAGTGGTCTGTTTCACATGTTGTAAATATTTTGTAACAGTAAAATTCTGAGAGTTAAATGTTCTTGAAACTCTTCTGCAATGCAGTTCCATTCAAGCAAAAAAGCAATTTTAGTGTATTTGATATTCCGAAAATTGTTTGATTTTCTTGTTCCATGGTATCAAGCGAAGATTTAATTTTTAGTCAGGTACTGGCGATTAACTGTGATTCTGATTATGCCGTCATGAGGTGTTTAATTTTCAACAAAATCATATAATTAATGTATCGTTTTTGTGAAATTGTGTTTAATATCATGAGTCTGATAAATAAACTGATAAATTTATTGCACTGAAATTGAAATTTTTCTCCTTGAACAAACGGCCTCACTTTCAGCATAAAATTACAAAACTGGCCAAATGTCGACATTGCACATTCATGGTTCGAACGTTTCATGGTTGGTTCCCCAGCTCTGCCTTGGAAAATTTTAAGATACAAAGTAATCGTATCCAGATCTAACGTTTCCATATTTTCGACGGTTTTCTGTCTGATCTCTTGGTTGCTGCGTATTCGAGTGTTATTTCCTGTCTACCCATGCTATTGCTTCTGCTTTCAGCGATGACATTGTTTTTAACATGCTCTGCACTCTGGTGATATCGTTTCAGGTGTTTTCAAGAGCTGAAATAACCAGCATGCTTTTTTACGTTGCTCCTTCTGTCACTAGCAGCTGATATTTTATTAACAGCATAAAATTTTTGTTGGCGCTCGTAAAATATTAAAGTAATGTCAACTCTGTGCATAACTTACCACGTTCAGTGCATTGTTCTATGCGGTAATTACCACATGAGGCCCACCTGTGCCACTGCTGTATTTTCTACGATCCACGTAACATGTTTCAGTATGCTATTACTCCTTTGAAAGAAGGGAGTCTGTACAAACAGATCCTGTGTATTTGAGCTTATTTACCCTGCAAAGTAGATCGTTCTCCGAGATGGTCATGCGATGCCGACGTTTCGATTCCTATCAAACATAAGTTTACCAGATGGCGTTTTTAACTGTTGTTATAGACATCTCTTGGCAGAAATTGTTTTAGCTTCATCCAGATGAAATGCGCTTTTGATGCTAAAGTTTTGTGGCTTTCCAGGTAAGTACAGCATCACCTGTGGTCAATTCTTGTTATCCAGATCGGTGACTATTGCTTTTTACTATGCACACCAGATGTCGGCTGCAGTTTGTCCTAGTCAGAAACCTTTTGACGCATTTCGATGGATATACTATTTTTGTTTTTGGCTTCTGTGATAAACTCATGAATAAAGTAGCTAATTTTTAGTAAAGTCAGTCAGCAGCTATATAGAAGTAGTAGTACGTTAAATGCGCCATTCTGTATTACAGATATTTAATCCTGTTATAGAATAGGTTATAACTTGATTATCCGGCAGTGCCACTTGTCAAGAACCGGTTGCTTATCTATCGATCTAAATGTGCTCCGCTTTCCATGTTTTTCTTTTACGTGCGTAATTTTTAAGTTCACTGTTTCAGGCTGGTACTATTGTGAACTTCCGTTATCAGATTATCAGCGAAATTTTGACCCTGTCTCTGATATCTTTGTTGAAGGACTGCATTCAGCATATAGCTAATGTACACGGATTGTCGAATCTCGGTCGTATCATACCTGAAAACCTGCTCAAAAACGTAAGTGTTGAACAGATCCTACTCAGCTCTCTTTATAATGCATTATGTTGAAATGTTCACGCACATTTTTTCATTTTCTATTTAATATTGTTTTAAAAAATTTTTACCTTTCGTATGACTCGGTCAACACTCAATTTGACAGAATTCACTGCGGCAATTTTGTTCGAGTTTGTAGCGTAATATTTTTGAACCTAAGTTCATGTGTTCATGCATGTTCGTGTATCCTTATGTTCATAAAAGATAACGTCAGAATTTCATAGTGACATTGCGGCATTGGCGCTTGCTTGAGTTAACTGTTGCTGAACAAGCTTTTGTAATAACACATACTTTCAAGGCTGCTGACCAAAGAGATCTCCGCTAAGTGTTGTGCCTTCTGTTCCTCTTACTTTACTCTCAAAGCCTCGTCATTTTTTGGTTCCATTTTGTTTTTCGCAGCCTGGACCTTAAATTGAAAAGAAGGAAAGGTTGCTACCGTTGAAATGTCGGTCTTCTTTGCACTTACTTGATTGAGCCATTTCTGGTTCGCTTCTTTTCATGAAGTTATGGTAGGGCATTGATTTCCATTTTTATGCCATCAGCTTCATTTTAAGGACAATCGACAACAGCTATTTAGCAAACATGGTCTGTTGTCTTGTGTTTTTTTCCAGAGAGTGGTACTCATTTATTAACTTGGGAAGGAAGAAAGCTGGTTGATCTTGACCAGTTCTCGAATATGATACCACGCAGTTGCGAGACCGACGCTCTACTGATTGAGCAATTCCTGTCATTATTTTAAATACCCTTTGTTTTTTTTTCTGTTTTACGTTTGCTACTTGCTTTACAGATTCAGGATTTTACATTGCGTTGCATCTACGTGGGCGACTCTCAGTTGTCAGCCAAATCTTCGAATCGTCGCAACAGTGATGAAGCGTCACAGAATTTATCCACCACATCTACGTCGCATTACAAGTTTGGCAGCCATAAGGTGCTAATCCTCAACTTGTCGTTGGCCATCGAGCTTTATGCGCTGAGCGTTGTCGACGAGCAAGGTACTTTGTTACTTTGTCAGTTTTTTATTTTTGGTGGCATGACCGATCTCCATCATTTCTTTGCTTCACCATTATTCAAGCATACAAATAAAAGCGTATATTCATTTGTTTTAAAAAATGAAAACGTTCGTTTATTAGATGATTTACGCCTTCTGATATTTCGATCCTAAATATTTATAATAAATGTACTAGTTCAATCCTCAGTAGTATTATTAGGCAAGTTGTAATTAACTACGTAGCGTTTGTTAGTTTTAAGAAATTTTTTACCTTAGAGACTCAATTCTCGCTAGCAAAGCTATGGGTACTGTCATTTTACTGCGGATATGGTATTGCAACTTAAACTTTAGTATTTACTCCTTTTTGTAGGTTTATGATAAATTTTAGTTTGGTGCCAGATACAAAAGTTTATCGGGTAAAAACAAGAAATGGAAGCTTTTTACAAGGATAAGGAAACGTTAATGACTATTGGAACAGTCTTCCAGCGATTCAGGTAAAATTCGTTGCTGTTACGCGCAGAAGTTTTTAAGTTTATAACTAAATTACATGTCAGGCAATCAAGATGTATTTTTCTGAATCATCGTGTAGTAGAATTTTCAAGATTAAAATTTAAAAAATGAGTCTCCGTTATCATAATAGTCTGGTGGGTTTAATCTTTATAAGTTCACTGAAAAGCTCGCATCAATTTTATACTTGATAATTGATGTTTGAGATCTCCATGATAACGCGTTTGAAATATAAAATTGTCGTCGAAGAGAATACATTAAATTTATGCCCTTGATGGCAGCAATTAAACTATTGTAGTAGATGGTAAAAATTAAATTTTGGCTGTGAACCTATGGCGTGCATAGGTAATGAGTTCACGCGGTCTTGTTAAGTGATGTCTTAGGTTACCTTAATTTTTGACGGAGAAAATGAGGTCAATGTTTGAAGGATTTAAGAGGTACGGTCAGTTTCTTTGCAGTTGTTACTAATGTCCCCCAGTTGCAAGATCTAGATTATCCTGACGACATTAGGTCACTGAAACAAAATTCGAACATCTTCAGAAAGCCTTGATGGCCATAGAAACAGTCAGTGCACAGCATCGACTGACCTTGAAACTATCAAAACGCAAAGTCCTTGCTACACTATATGGCCAAGACGATGTTATCGTCATGAAAATTTGCGGAGAAGATGCGCAGTATGTTACCAAGTTCTGTAATCTTAGATCGATGGTCTCTAGTGATGGGAGCTGTGAAGTAGATATATATATGTTATGTATATGTTTATCTTGGAGTGTTTCTCAGCCCTGCGCATGCATTTATTAGTATGATCACAAATTTGTTAACTTTCTGAATGACCGTACAAACAATCGAAGCGTCTCATTTTCGCTTCGTATCGCGTTACTGTTTGTTTTTCACCTAGTTACGTATATATTACAGTTGGTTGCACTGTTTGCGTTTTAACAGATGCGATTTTATTTTTATTTTATTTTACACTACTAACAGTTTCTGTTTCGTTTAGACGCTGACAACGTTTGTAGTCATATTGTTGATCGGATAAACCATGCACACAGTTACAGAGTTTTGTCGCATCGATGGATGTTGGCTGTAGTCACGCTGGACGTAAGCTTCTCTCATGATTAGTACTAGTGTTTATTATTGAACCTTGTTGTTTTAGGCACTTGGAAGTCTGGTCGAAAGGTTTCCGGTGATCGCTGCCACGACTGTCATTCCTTTTCTGACGAATTTTCTCGTCTCTCCGTCACAGATCTTTCTCAAGTTTCCAACTGTTCCTCTAAGAAAGCGGAGCGTCCGTATGGAGTCTGAAACGGTATCATTTTATTGCTGTTGTAAAATTTGTCAAATTGTCGTTATCTAATATAACCCTTTTCAGTTTCCTGAAGGCAAAGAGTTGATGGTCAGTGAGATGTCCCGGAACTCCATTGCAAACGACCGAATACAGTCTAGGAGGTGGCTAAGTACGGAACGCATTCGCCATTGTGCTATCCGAAGTCTTTGTCTGTATACACTGACATGGATCCTGGTACAGCAAATTTAGCTTGAGCATTGTTTGCCTTAGTGCCCTGAAGGCTGGGATCACATTGGATTCAGAATGTGTCAACGCTTGCTTGGCGACCATCTCTACTCGACTGTACATCGCACAGAACAACGAGCCGTAAGCGAAATGCATGTGGCCAAAAGCCCATGAAGCGCGTTTTGTAACTCGCATTTGGTCGCGTTTCAGACATTCGAACATTATTTCGCAGAACACGATTGCCGTTCTTGGCGGCATGGGCGTGTGGCTGTTCGATATGCCTCTCGTATCGCATGCCGTATTACAGATCTTTCAGCAGAAATTTGCCAAACCTGCATCGCCCCTCGACAAGTACATCATCGAGCAGCTGTCAGACATGATTCTTGCCGGCTGTGTAATATGCTTTGGTTCTTATTTCGCAATTAGTTACAGCTTTTGCTTACTTATTTTGCAGACCTCGATTTACACGGAAGTGATGCGCATGTTTAACATGATAGCGTTGGAGTCGTGTTCGACCAGGTACAGCGCTGTAGACGACTCTATGAACAACGCCTATCGGTGAGACCCGTTTCTGTTTGTTTGCAGTTTCAAACTCTCTGAGTTCAAGTTTGAGCTTAGCCGTTTCAGCAGTCTTAAAAACTGCGACGGGTTTTCTACACATATGTCACATTGATCATGAACATGAATAAAACCGTGGAGAAGATCTGGAATATAATATACTCCACTTTATAATTAATTGAAGAAATCAGAGAAATGAAAATCTGACTCTGTCGAAGCTGTAGATTTTGGGGGTCAATGTTTCGCCAGGTTTTCAAGTAT